TATACACTAAACTATTGCTATATAGGGTAAACATCTTATGTGTCTTAAATCAGAATTCAACTCATAGATTTATGTATATAACATGCCTTGGCAGACATGCACAAATCTACCCCACATCTTTTTTAGTTATTTATAGATCCTGAAAGAGCAGAGTTTAATTTTTCCCATGGTGTCCAACTGGAAACATACTGATATAAAAAAAAAAAAAATTAAACCTACAAAAATGTCCTTTAGGTTACTTTAAAAGCCTTATTTGTTGCAGATAAACCTCTGAGTGACTTACTCTCTATGCATGTACACGATGAATACTTGACTCTTTAATTGACAGGTTAGGTTATTTATAAAAAAGAATGCTTACTGGGTTATTTTGATGTATCTGAGCAACTGAGAGAATGTGTTGCTTTGTTTACAAGTATTGAGTTTAATCTTTAAATCCTTTAAAACTATGTATCTGAATGACCTTTTTCCATTTAGGAGGTGAGTGAGGAGATGTCTGTTACATGATAACACAAACTATCCTTGTTGTTTTAAACCTCTTTAAGCTTTCATATTTGTTCAAAAGACAATAACACTATTTTTTTGAAAGTGGAGAAATAAGCATCAAGTGTTGTGAACCTGGATATACTGTATATAAGAAAAAAAAAAGAAAGCTGATAAGGTTCATCTGATTCACCCAGCTCAATGACCATTCTCTTCTCTAGTCAAGCCTATCGCTGATTCTCTCCCCTCCCTACTCCTCCCTGACTCCTTTTCTTCTTTGGGACCTACTTAGATCTGATAATTAGAGACTGGTGGGAGGTGTGAAGGGTGGAGATGGGGAAAGTGGCAGAGAGTAGGAAGCAGAATGGGAGCTGTGAATGTAAAAGCCCTTGGCATAGTTTGAAGCTAAGAAGGGAGGTGGTGGTGGAGGGGGGTAGCAAGAAGAAGAGAGAAAGGCCCATAATTATAGAAGCGTAAGGTGTGAAGATGAAAAGGATCTTAAGTTTTTAGACAAAAACTCACGCATCAACACCCTGTGGTAACCAAAAGCTTCCCGGTTTCTGTTTTATCATATCCAACAGCGCCTAGGGCAAAAACACTCTCCCCCTTTTCCTTCTTAACTCCCCTGCCTGCAGCTGCTCCTCCTTATTGTTATTACAAGTCTTTCTTCACTTCTAATCTTGACAAATAACATTTCAGTTGTTGCCTCTTTCGTGCTGCATTTTCTTCCCGTTTTCTTCTAATTGAAACCTAAAACGTTTTTTTTTTTACCATTTAGGTTGGTTAAGAAAAAGCAGTTTATAAATAAAAGTAAAAGATTAAAGAACAACAGCTAAAAGTTTTGAAATTAATTAGTTTTAAAGTTCACTAAATATTTTGGAAGTCAACGAGAGTTCAAGCACAAATTTACGAAAAGTAGATAAAATTTAATTTATAAAATCTTTTGTTTCCAAATCTAACAAAACCAGAGATTTCTCACAGTTTTTATATTCATATGTCTTGTCATACATTTGATCATAAGTGTATTATCATTTTTCAGTCAATTCAAATTATGCATGTACAGTCTAAAAACAGGATGAAAGTCTAATGAACACAAAAATTGCCAAAATAAAAAAAGGGTGTATTTGTTTAAATAAATCAAGAACTTTTAAACAATAAAAAATAAATAAACAATTATAAACAGAACATAAACATTCAGTAACTGAAATAAATGTGAGCTAAGAGATAAAGAGATCCATCATAAAATTAAGAAAAATCACAAATTTAAAGAAAGAAAAACAAAAATGCTTTACCAGAGTAAAGTCATAATTACTAGTTCAAATTAATAAGTCAGTAGACGCTTTAGGTTTATTTTTTTATGACATAAAATATATCTGTCGAGGTCAAATGACTTCCAACTTAAAAACAAATCTGATGAATAGGTGCATCTAGACCAGCAGTAATTATTTAAAGTGATAAAATCCAAAAAAATAACCACAAAATCAGTTGTGAAATGAAAAGGTTGCTAAAAGAGAGACTTAATAATTTCGATTTTAAGTAATTTAGCTTCATTAGTTCAATATCTTCATATTTTCTTTCTTTTACTACCACCTTCCAGCAGATTTTCTTCTGATTCTTAAACCCTCAGCACAGAGGAAGCCATTGATTTGACTATGAATTGAAATGAGCCACTTCTTCCACCATTCACTTCCAATATTGGCAGCTAACAGCTATTACGGTTGGCATTTAGCTTCTATAATAAAATTATTCTGATCACCTGATCAATAAGCTTCAGGTAAATAAACTCCACGACATTGATCACTGCAGTGCGCTCGGTAAGTAAACAATGCAGGGAGATGAGAAGTGCATTATGAACTGGGAGACAGTGAAATGAATTCTGTGACATTAATATTTTTGTGTGTTTTCAATCTTCCTACCAGCCGAATATATTAGCGAAAGACTTGGCAGCAGCTCAGGATATGAACATGCTGTGTTGTAGACAGGAAAAGAAGAAAAGGAAATATCCTCCTGCGGTTTTCATCCAACAAAGAGAACGGGAAGTGTTCTCAGTTTCATCTCTTTCTTATGGTGATACAATGCATGCACATTACAGATATGGACTGCAGACGGTAAACAAACAATTCATATGTCAAATGTAAGTAGAGAAAAAGCACTGGTTCTTTCATTAGTGTTTCCAAGTTCTGCTTCATGTGCAGACTTTGTTAGAGAGCCAAAATGGTAATGTCCTTGAGATGTATGGAGGGCAAACAGGCCAATGTCTGATCCCTTTGCCCATATCATTGCTGGCATGAATGAAACACCCTGGCTTGGCTTATACTCAACCCTGCCCTGCATGCTAACATCCAGCTAAAGCAGTGGGGAAATTCGGCTGGCCTCACTCATTAACATAGCGTTAAGGGATTATTGAGATCACTGCCTCAAAGCCCCTAATTGTAATAGTTAAATAAAAAAATCAGTGTCAGCAAAAAGAGCCAGCCTCATTGTGTTCCATCGTTAATGCACTGCCTTTTGTCAGTGTGTGTTCATGTGCCTGAACAAGCATATCCAAAAAAAAAACCCAACAGCTGTCAGTAAATACATCACCTTGGAATTAAAGGGTTAATTAAAAGCAAATTAAAACTCATTAAGCCTGCATGACACCTGCTTTTTAAATCCCCATTTCTTCATTTATCCTTTTCTCTATGCATGCACACAATACGAGAAGATTTGCATACTTTTTAACCTGAGTCAATACTGACCATGACAGACTAAGCTAATTAGATGTGTAAACCTGCAAAGACTTTTCTTTGGGCCAAACTAAGATAGTTCAAAAGAATACAAGAATAGGAGGACAAAAAATATAATCTCTACAGGTTGAAATGCTTGGGGGGGGTGTTGGGAGTAACAATTGGGAGCAGACTCCTCATCAAAAGAAGCAATCTAGCTGAGCTTGTCTCTGCGCGTCATAGAGAGTCTGCCTACTCAGACATGAGCACTAGTGATCTTCATCATATCCCACCTCAGGCTAGGATTAACAGACCACTAAGTCCCTGAACAGCTCTCCTCTGAAAGCCATAGTGAATTTGCAAGGTACAGGGAGGCTAACAGTGCTACAGAAACACACATACACAAAGTAAATTTGCAAATAACTGCATTACCACTGAATCCATAGTCTTAGATCTTAAGTGCATATCTAAACCTTCTCTGACTTCCTTCCTTTCCATGAGGGTTGTTGCAGTTACAGAGTACAAACCCCTCATCTGAAGGGAGTGGCTGTGTTGGAGACCACTCGCTTAGCCTACCCCTTTTTAGTACACGGCTCGTCCTCTGCAGCATCGCTGCCTAATTACAGTCGGCTCTGCTTCGGCGGGAATAGAACTGCCTGCCAATATTATTGATAATTCACAAAGAGTAAGCTGTTGCAGGGAATAGGGATGGTCATGTGAAATGACTCAGTTTTATTAGCTTCCACTGCCCTTTGAAGTGAAGTCAAAAGTGAGACATGCCAAGAGACTCATGCCAGATGGAGGTACTTTGACTAAAAGGTGTTGCAATCTTTCTAATGCAACACTTCTTTTTACATGAAATCTAAAAATGTATATAGTGGTGTAGTTTTTGTCCACCACAGTCGATTTACTACACACAAGTCAAATTGGATTTGTAGACATCGTAAGCAACAAACATTAACCATATATGAATAATATCTGGTCCTGATATCTCAGAAATTTTTCTGGATCTCAGGGCTACAGTAATGTATCATCTGGCTACCCTTCGGTACAGTGGAAGGCTTGTACACATGGGTTTGTTCTTGAGTGTCATAAAATGCATTTTCCAATTTTTTTAATTAGACATTTTTTTTGGCCGAGAGAATTTGCAGCTCACACTCTCAATATCAAATAGGGGGTCAGGGTCTATCAAAAACATTTTAACAAGAAAGCCTACTTTTAATTGCTTGACCTATTGTAGGGGGCTAAAGCATCATGTAGTTTAACAGCAGGATGTCCGGCTAAGACTGTGTATTCTAATCTCTGCATGCAGGCACATTTATTGAGGAAACTTTAGGAAGGCCAGCTTAGTGAAATTTAGCATCTAGATTATGATTATATGTATAAAACAACATAACTGTTCGGATGTGATTATTAACATCAGTACCATTTGGGTTTCTCAGTGGTGCATCAACAAGTAACAACTCTGAAATGACTGCATATAAAAACCAGCAATAATGCCCACCCCCCACCTTCACCACATTTAACCTTCCTTTCTAGAAATACCAAAAATATGCAAATCACAGAAGCTTTTCAATGAACTCAGCTCTTTTAAAGTGTGGTATATATAGTAAGCCTGCAGAATACATTTTCAACAAACACTTTTATTTAAAACCATTGCAGTTTGACTTTTGCACTGACCTCCGGCTTTTTGACTCGGCCCTCCTGGAATGAACAAGTGCGAGGGTCATGGGTACAGTCATGTCGGTATTTACACCAGTGACATTGGTAGGGGCTGCTGACACAAGACAAACACCTGGGGGAAAAAAAATAAAAATTAAAAAAATGATTGGAGTGGAGAGGCAGGTTTTAGATCAGTAAGAAATGGTTGAAGGCAGATAAAAAGCTTAGTTAATCCAGCTACAGTCAGAAATGTACATGCAGTAATAAATATTTAATAAATACATTTGATTTTATCACAATTTCAAACAAAGTTTAGATTTCATTAAATCCAAGTATAAAAATCATGTATTAAAACCCAAGCCTGTATATACACCCCTAATAGTCCCTTTTCTTTTTTTTTTTATTAACCAACTTGTTGGTGTGTGTCTGGTACTGATAAAGCAACCATCTTTAGCTAAGCTTTAACCATCTGACCGAAACTGTTGGTTAGGATGTTTTAAAAGCGGCAAAGGCTCATGTATAGTTGGTGAAGTCACAGAGCGGTTTTAAAATGAAGACTACTAAACTAAAGAGGTAAAGTCATGTTTTAAGGACTGTTATGCCATCAGTGGCACTACTGAACTGCAAAAGGCAGAAGGTATTACAAAAAACAGCTATGTAAGTAAGAAAACAATTAGTGATCCCAAACACTCATAACTAATTTCAAAATGTATAAATCAGCCATATAAAGCCTATGAAAAATACCTTTATAAACATTTGACCTTATTTAGAGACAGATATATGGACTATGCTTACAAATTGGATCATTGTAGGACACAAAATAAACTTAGATTTAACAGTTGTATTCATAATTAGGAAAGTCATCACACTCACAGCGTGATATAAAAAAGTCTGGATTAACTTATCTGGCGTAGAAAAATATCCACAATAAATTTACCCTGATTCACCTTATTCTTATTTCTGAAAATGCTGACATTGTAAATGTATTTCATGCTAAAAAACACATAAAAAAAAAAAATTTTAAAGCTGAAAATTAGTAACATGTACACAGAAGATGAATAGATGGAAAAAAATGGAAAAAAAAAAACAGAATCTTAGGAATGCCTGCTATTTCATCACATAAAGCGTTCAGAACTATAACAACAGGCCTGCAGGTAAGTTCGGATTTTTAAATGTCAAAAGAGGGAGAAGAAAGCTGTCTACAAATGCTACATTCTGAAATCCCTTTAGAAGAATGTTGTCATTCTGGAACTCTGAAATTGGTACAAGGGAAATGTAATAAAAGTCTGCTGCAGACTGTGATTGAAGTAGATTTGAAAGCCAGCAGCAGAGGTTTACTTACGACTTGTGAACGCTGCAGTTGTAGAAAACAAAACTGGTATTTGCAAAAGCCAGGCCCGTCTCCTTGGATTTGAGATAGAGCTGCACTATCTGGTGGTCACCTATAAAAAACAGAAGGTGGTCAAAGGGGAATATAGGTTTTGAAACATTTGAGCAAATTATTTATAATTCCAATACTTCGTACATATTCTTGTTTATCCATTTGTTTTTTGGTTATTAAAGAGGCAACATGTGTTAATCTTGTTGCATTGATAAAGAATATCTCTTAAAAGGCCAGAATTAAAGCTAAAACTCTATCGAGTCCTCCTTTTCATGCAGCTATGCATGAAGTAAAAGTTGGTGCTTAGACATGTCCCTTGGGATGGGCAGTATTCCCTCTGAAATCTCTTTGAGGGTATCTTTGACAAGGTAAAAGAAAAACATGAAACAGCAGCCATGTGTATTTTTGTGTAAGTGTATCAACTGGCACCTCGTCTGTATTAGGTATGTCCTTTTGTCTGGCGCTAATGAAGGAGCTCATGTTTAATTCATCAACACATCTAACTGCTCATTCTCGTCACTACCTCTTTACCTCTCCCTCTCATTGCCACTATCTTTACCCACAGCTCTCTTCACTTCCTTCCACACTTTGACTCCCTGTCCCTCGTGAGCCTCCCTCCATCTCTAACAAAGAAGAATCATTCATCAATCAGAGTAAAGCACCGGTGACAACGGATCTGTCCTAATTAGGCCACCTAAATGTTACCTTGAAGCCTGCTAACACTCTCCATCCTTTCCCCTCTCCTCTTCTGCTTTGCACATTTTTCTCTTTTTTTACACCAAGTTTTCACTAATGTGTAATAGTAAAAACAGAAGATGAAAGATTGGAATTTATGAGACATTTTACTTTTGCTCCCCAACAGAGAAAAAAGTATAGATTTGCCCGTGTGGGCAGCAAACTAGGCGTGTGTGTCACAAGGTTTTGTTGTACATAGTTTCACATTGCACATCTATGTTTGCATTATCATAGCATTACCAGCTCTACATGTTGCTGACACTGCAAACGCTGAACAAATGTTTACAATTCCCAGAAGCACATTCAGTGTCAGATGCATCTCTATATGGCGCTGCCTATATGTGGTAGAACAAGTTTTCTTTTATTATTTTCTTTTTATAGCATCAGATTTTCATCTGGTTTTTTTTTCCATGTCTACTAGTTGGATTAAATAGCAAAACAAAACATGAAGCTGGAAGCTTTACAGATTCCCCTATCAAATGTGACCTGTTTTGACCCATTAATAAAATCCTTTACCCAGCTTGTTTTTTAAATCAAATATCTTAACAGTTCAAACAATCTTACATTAAATGTATCAAATGTATTATGACTAAGCTGAACTAAGAATAATTTTACTTGGCGTTATTAAACAGAACAATGTTGGAAAGGAAACAAGATCTTCCTTTTTTGTGTAAGCTTAAGACTCTTTATGAAGACATGAGCTGTAAAATTCCTCAAAGGTAGGTTTGGCAACTGTGGGGACAAAATATTTCTTCACTGTTACAGTACATGTTTACAGGGATTACTACATGGCACGCATGTTGTTACCATCCAAGAACCTCCTAGAGGTGAAGAGAGTATAGCTTTGGGTTTGCATGTACAACATAGACATTGGTCTTATCCATTTTAATCTATGTGATCCGAAAGTGAAACTAGATCTCTTCATGGTAAACTTGCACGGCCCTAGGAATAATAATGGCTGAATGATGGGAGAAAGCATCAGACAGAAACTTCAAATATTAAGATTGGCATAATCTTTCTTTTTTTAAACTCTTTTACAGCTGGTTGAGTTGTGTCAAATGTTTTGTTTCCTTCAAAAAACTCAAACAATGCCAACATGTAATGGTTTCTTGGCAAATTGTATGATGTTCAGGGATCTTTAGGAGCATTTTATTACAGATTTATACAATGTGGTCAACCAGGGGGCACATCCTTCCCTCTGGGTATGATCCATGAGGGAAAAGTTAATAAATATCCTAATAGAATCAGTGAAGTTTATTTATTTAATGTGTCCTGAGGCACTGTTTGAAGGCTTGATGAGTTGTTAAGGGTAATGAAAAATTATCTATCTGGTTTTCCTCTGGTTTAGGATTGGCTGAACAGAAAATATCAACTTGATAGCAAGTACATTTTAATGATAGACAGGTATGTTGGTAGAACAGGGAAAACTGACTAGCTGTATATAATAACAACCTTAATTGTCCAGGTGCAACTCAATGGATTAGTTCATAAAACAAAAGCAAAAATACACTGAGAATGTCACATTATAAGGTAATGTGAGATCCCTGAATAAACATGCAACATTAATCCTTGTTCTTACCCTTGTCCACAATAATACGTGGCATCTCCTTTTCAGTTGGCGAGTAACACTTGATCCGGTTTCCTTCTACCAGGCCGTTCATCTCAGCCAGATCCTTGAATGTGCAGTTAACGCCTGCTGAAAGCTCTGGGACATTATGGGCTTCCAACACCAACTGCAGAAAGAATGGAGGAAGAAGACCATTAGAAATTAACAAGTAAAGCATTACTTTTCCTATCCTAACTAAGGAAGATTTATTATCAATAACATGGATACATGATATTTTGTGTTTTTGAACCATGTAACTCTTTTTTAACAAAAGAGAAAAGGATTCTGAATTTCAAGAAAACACTTTAATCATCCACTGAAAGAAACAAGTGGAAGAACATTATCCCATATGTGCCTGGAGTATGTGGGACAATTAACGGTTATATGAATCTGCAGATAGCTCTGCTGTTAAAAACAGCTATTTGGGATAATAATACTGTAGATAATCCTCAGACATTGTGCGTTGTAGTCAAGACCACACCAACCAAGACCAAGGAGTAGAGACGGAGACAAGGCTAAGACCTTTAGAGGCCAAGACCAAGACCTTATATGGTCTGTTCCCTAAATGTCTTGGTACCCCTTTGTACGGTTGTAATGGTCTTAACTACAAAATTACCACATAGAGAGCCGATTACAGAAAAGAAAATATATAAGCCTTCTGGAAGCCTTCTGGGAGAGAAGCAAATGTCTTCGCAAGATATTGCACACTATTCCCCCATTTTGCACATTGGCTCTTTTATGGTCGGAAAATTGGTTGGAACCAGTAATTTTCAGAATAACCAAAAGGACAATATATACCTTTTCTGGTGTGTAAAGATTTCCAAACAGCTAAATTGATCTTTTTCATGAGGGGAACGTTTAGTCATCTATTTAGGTACAGGGCATCCTACTGCATTGTATTTAGTTGGGTTTGATTTCATTGCTTGATGAGTAAGTTGGTGGCCTTAAGAGAAAACAGCAAATATTTGTAAACTATTTATTTAAGCACATATCTGGCATTTAGTAGGTCAAAAATACAAGGGGGGCAAAATTATTTCAGATGAGTAGTGCTTATAGAAGAGGAGAAACAATCTACCAGGAAGATGGAGGGAACCAAATGAAGCAGTAAACCATTAGACATGGACTCACAAGCATACAGGTCAGTGGACTGTCACACACCAGAGCATTTCCAGGAAATAAGAATGCAAATTTTTCATCATGTAAAAGATGCTGCATAAGCTCCTCTGGCACCTCAGGAAGAGTTGCCTTGGGTAAGGTAAGAAGGGAGGGGAAAAAGAAAATGTCCTTGAATAAAAGTAGAGGAAAGTGGGACAGGGTCAAGACCACACTATACATATTGATGGAAAATCCTCTCTGTAAAGAGGATTGTAGTTTAAACACTGATTCAGGTGTAGGTGGCAGTACACTCCCGATGCAACCCTGAAAGCTGTATCAGCGGCAGAGAAGGGCTGACCTATACTGTTTTTATATTGCTGTTTAATGAAAAGAAAGTAGCAACTGCTTAGCCATTTACAGAAAATCTCACATAAAATGGACAATGAATTTCAAGCCCTGCCTCTGAAATTCTCTACCTATGACCCTTCTAGTAACTTGCTTGTATTTGCGTTTTCTCAAAGACGTAAACATGGGCAAACCCACAGTTGAATTCAATGCATTTGCAGTAGAAAGAAGCTGCCTTTCCACAGATGTCAAGACTTCAGTGAAAAAGCAAACAAAAACCTCCACTTAATATACATTTATGCACTACCTTATGTAGTTTGTAAAGCATTATATTAATATATAATGTATCTTTATTGAGCAAAATCAGAGTAAATATTACATCTAGAAAAAAAAAATCTAGGAGGCAGACCATAGGGAGGATATGTCCTTGTTTTTAATCAGGGATTCAAACGCTGTATCTTTCTAAACATATTTAATAACCCAAAGGTCAAGTTGTGGCCACAGCCAGTTTGGCTGAAACCTCTGCAGATCATTCAGCAGAATGGTAAATGTGTGCAGAAAGGTTAAACACTCAATAGCATTGCACAGCCTCCCATGAATATTATTAAACTGATGCAGAGGTACATTTCTGACAAACTGCTCACGTTTGACCTTCTGAAGAACGCAGATGAGAAAAGTCCTTCCTGGCTGATTGAAATATTGGTGGTCTAGAGGATTTAAAACCATTTCTAAAAGACCCAAAAGCTAAAGGGAAATGTGGAATTAAAAATAATTCTGCTTATGGTTAGTAACGGTCAGATTTTGTCAAGTTGTGACCACAAATATTCATTATGTTCACAAAATTATCATAGGTGTTTAGAGGTTTGAAATCTACCATATGTATTTAAAACAATTAATTCCATAACTGATCCTTCTATCTCTGTACTACTCCATGTGTCAAGCTTTTAATACTTAATGTGCTAACACTTTGTGTGTTTTATGTCTGTTTTCTTAAATCCTGATTTTGTTAAGGGATGTTGAGATATCCACAAAATTTACAAAATAATTGTCATGATCTGCCAATCTGGACTTATTCATTCTGCGTAGGTTTTCATTTTGAGTTCTCAGTTATGCTTCATTTTATTTTATTCTGTCTTGTAAAGATTTATATCCTTTTTGAATTGCTAATTCTTAGTAGCTGCTGTGACACTTTTTCTCTTAAGACTATAAAGTGGGCATCCCCAGAAAAAGATAGCTAAGTGGGGAAGAGCAAGTAGGACGGCCTTACGTAAACATATTATCAGACCACTTATTTAAATGATCCAACCGGAAAAAGAGCATCCAGAGTTTTTATTTTTATTTTTTTATTGTCATTATACTGTCACAAGTACAGAGCAACGAAATTAACTCTCTGCATTCCACTCTTGGTTCTGTCTCCCATACATTATCCTCCACTGCAGTTCTTCAGAGATGAATTCTCTTCATTCCTTTTTGTATGTTTCTCTCGAGCTTGTCTAGATTTGGTTTCTGAGCTACCAGGCAATTATTTCTGGATTTATATTTTTGTACCATCTACTTCACCATTAAAACTGCAAGAAACATCTCTGCCTCCTCTACTCTGCATTTTGGTCCACAACAACATCCACCAACCCTGACAATAACACATCTGTCGGCATACAAAAATTACTTGTAGTGAATGGCTGTGTAAAAACCGCTACACTATAAATAATTATACATTAAATATATAGATTTACCCAGAATAACAAACAGAGCCTTGTAAATATATAAATATCCTATAAAGAAGTTTATAGGATATCTATAGGATATAAATATCCTATAAACATCTTTATGTTTTGTCATATTAGAAACACAAAGTTCAACTTTATTAGCGGTTTATGAGATGGAACAGAACACACTAGTAATTACAGTAGTTTTAGTACAAGGAAATGAAGGGAAATGAAATTAGTAAAATGGTATTTAACCCCTTGTTAGTGCCCTTTATTAAAATCTTGATTACCCCAGAAGTCAATTTAGAGTATATTATTATTATTTTACGTTTTTACAAATGATTTCTATCTGTATTTTTTTTTTTTTTTTTTTTTACAATGATCCAAAAATGTATTATGTGAATTTGTTTTTAAACTTCTCTGGTTGAATAGATTGTTGAACCTTTTCTTACAACTGCATTTTCATTACTTTAAGGTCTATCATTTTTGTATCTAACAAAATACTTTTCTCTATTGTTTGCAAAACAGGTGAAGCTACATTGGATGAAGAAATGAAAAAGAGTTGTAGAGAGCAATTGTTTTGCAAGAGATTCTCAGTTGGCTTATATCTGGACTTTGAATAGGCCATTTTAACAAACCAACACAATCTAAACATTCTACTGGAGCACAGTGGTTCTGCTGAAAGGTGAACTTTTGCCTTAGAGTAAGGTCTCCAGATGAACAAACAAGGTTTATTTTGTTATTATCTATCTTGCAAACAAAAAATGACCCATTTCCATGGATCCATGCAAAATAAAAGCCTTACTACAAGATGATTATAATACCTTCATGTTCCACGTACATGCACTCCAAAATAAATTTCCCAATTCAATTGCCTTTAAAACTAACCAATAGACTTTCTACCTGTTAATGCAATTTAATCTCATCTTGTTTAAAGGGTTGATATCATTACTAAACACACTTTTTAAAAGTTTATAAAATGTTTTAGTTTAGACAGAGTAAAACTGAATCAAGTATTCTCAATTCAGAGACAAACTTGTTTTCAAAGACACATTATGCACTTCTGAACAGGCTGGACATTTTTTGTCAGCCTTTAAGGATTTGTTTTCTAAAATCCTGCTAAGAAATGTTTCCACTGAAAAGAATTAAAGTTTTGCTACACATAGCAATATTCCCCAACAGCCAGGAATCTGGCCTGCTAGCTGGTATTTTAGGGTCAAGCCTCCAGCCGATAAATGTGCTTTATTTAGCTGCCAGCACACATTAAAATACAGCTGAGCTAAACTGTATGCTGCTAATGATTGCAGCCATTCGTTTGAAGAGTATTTCAGCAGCTGGAGCTGGAAATTGTGAGGTCAGTCTTTAAAGGATTGGTGTTGGCAGACAGTAAAATGATACAAAGCAGCACTGGAAAGTTAACACCATGTAGTCGATAGTACTTAAAGCCTAATTACATTGTAGTACAAATGATGCTTGAGAGAGTGAAACTGTGAATCTGCCAGACAAGATCGTCTCACTCGCAACAGATTCAACCATCATCACAATTTACTGCAAGGTGGTGATGTTGAAAGCAGCACTTGTTTGTGGAGACACAGCCATGTCTGATGCATGATCCAAAAACCTTTCATAAATCCACAAAATATAAGGACATTTCTCTTTAGGCCAGACTCAAAACCCAGCCCCAATACTGGAGTTTTGGGTGTGGCTTTTTACACTCACATCTGTTCACCACTGGATCACCCTGTGGTTGACCAATGGCTTAGTCTTTTCAATTTTTATCCATTCTTGGATAAGTTGACTCATTCACTTTTCTTAGGCTTTTTTTAGGTTTAGTTGAACTTTTCTACGCAACAAATAAAGTTTAATATCTTTAAAATTCTGTTAAACTACAGTTTGTTTGTTTTTTGAGAAAAATACATAATGGCAGAGTTTACCAAGATATTTTTTTGCCTTGATTCTTGAATAACGAACAGCCCTCTCAACAGGAATCTACCACTGCATTGACTGATTCAGGCACAGAGAATCAGCATTATGTGTGTCATGACTGTTAAGTCTGTTGAATTTCTTTTATTCTATTAAACCAACCAATAAATCATGATGAAGAAATTGAATCTCTATCAAAAGCAGTGTTTGATCTGGTTAGTGATGTTGGACTAGATTTCCATCTACTCACCGTGACACTAAACTGGGACACTGATATGTTGTTTGGGTGTACACTGAGACGGACACACTGCTTAATGTCTGATGCAAAGCGCCGAGGTTCTGATGAGCGCTCACATTTCTCCTTCCTGGCACACCTGAAAGACAAAAAAAGGAGAAGAGAAACGGGAGGGGGGGGTTTACTCTGGGATAAAAAATGGACATGCATCCAAATGCACATGGTAACATGATCAAGGCTTACTCTTTTCTACCTGTTGGCATCTGGGGAAAAAAGGAATGTCCCAACCCCTCTCAGACAGGTGCTATTGGAAACATTTATCATATTTCCTCTCTGGAAACATACCAGCTACAGTGGGTGGGAGCAGTTGCATTAAAACAAAGGTTGCTCTATATGTGGAAGTAGATCCAGCCCGTTGGGAAAGAGGTTTTCTCTGCTTTTGTGCTGCAACCTTAATGACTGGCATTCATGGGCAATGCCAAATGCAGGTGAAAAGGTAGACGCTAATGGGGGGTAGTATAGATTACCCAAGTTCCTTATACCAAACCAGGTGGCCTAATCCAGTCTGTTACAGTGGTTTGAGAAACAAAACATGGGACTGAAGCTTTATGCTGAAAGATGAATTTCAGACTCTGGCTCTTAAAGCAACCTCTTGTTAGGCTAAAAAGGGCATTTCCCATTTACACTGGAGGAAAACTACCATTCATTCTCACAACTTGATGGATGTTTGTTTCTAACCAGAATATTAGTGAAAGCATTTTTGTTGTTGTATTTTTGTGGAGTATTTATGTTTTGTGAGGAACCATCAATCTACAAATGTTCAACAAGATGCAGCAACTATTTCGTACCCAATTCCTCATGAACTTGTTGATGTTTAATCTCCTACCGATTTAAAGAAACCATATTATAGTAAAATAACAATTTGGAAAATCCCCAGAGTTCCTTTAAACTCAAAGGAATAAAAGAGGTCACAACAAATATACCTGAGATACATTAACTTTTTCACCTAAAAGCATTTTCTAAATAGTAATAATTCTGAGGGTGGTGCAGTTTTAACGTGACAAAATCATTATAAAGTCAAGAAGCCAACAAAGACAGACAGAAAGAAACCAAATAGATAAAATATAAATAAGAATAATCCGTGTGAGAAGGGAATGAGGCTGGAAGAGAGATGGAGGAAAAGGATGCAGTGGAAGAGAGCAAAAAGAGTTTAGATTTAAAGGAATACAGCTATTGTTGGCCGTCTCTGAAGCTTTACCCGCTAAGCCAGTTTCAGTAGGGGTTTAATCGCTTCAGGTTTCTTTGTGCTCCTATCACTGGTGTCTGTGCCTTTTCTTGTGCTGATTTAATAAGGCCACATCATATGAACAGCCTCAGGCAAACAAGTCAAATTTAAAAAAGCATAAATAAAGACATTCAACAATTACACAAGGAATAGATTCTTATTTTTTTTTTATATATATATATACCAGTGTTTGTTTAGATAGATTCAATTATGAAAGATTATTAACATTCTGATTAAAACAATAAATCAGTTAAGCAACATTTAACCATCATAAGCATTTTGTTCTTCTACTGAAACTAATAAACAGTTTGAAATGGCAGTTAACCAAAATTAAAATCAAATTGCAATACTGTTTACCTTAACAGGTAAGGATTGGTTTGGTGTGAACTTGTACACTTTGTCAAGAAGGTGGAGGTCTAAAGAGTTTTAATTATGAGTGATAAGGAGTTCATAGTAGTGTTGCGCCAATGCCACTTTTTATGGCCCAATACAGATACCCGATAAGTGGCTGTGCAGTATCGGCCGATACCAATACCATCTGTTTGAAATTGATGTGTGTATATATATGAAGAACTGCATACTACTTGGATGTAAAATAATTGCCATCATAGCTTTGTCAAGCTGCTGCCTGCCTTTGTGAAGCAGGATAAAGACTAATACATAGTGAATCCAGTAGAACTTTTTATTGCCTACCTGGAATGGGTGACAATAGTTGAAGAAACGTATGGGTTTTAAAATGGTTTTGGTGCCCTATTTGTCAGTACTCGCTGATACCGTTACCACCATTTTAGTGCAGTATCAGGGCCCCGCCTGACACTGGTATTGGTACAACACTAGTTTATACACAATTCTTTCTTTCTAGTACATACTTATGCACATACAATGTAAAATGTAGTTGATTCAGGTCTGCAGATCATTGAGTTGATATAAGGGCAAGTTAACAGAAAAACAAAGGGCGAGATTTTAGGCATTGAAAACTTTGGTGGCCAAGGGTGCAAAGAATCTACAAACAAAATAACTGCTGTGCACTTTAGCAAATACAAAAATTACTTCAAACACAAGAATTAAAATATCACATAAAACACATGCAAAGGAAAAACACAGCAAAAGAGAAATGCTATAACCACAGAAAAGTAAAGTCAAAATATGTTGCAAACACAAACGCACGTCAAATACATAGACCCGGTGGAAATAAACATGATGCTAACAAACGTACAGACTATGCGTACAAGGGAAATATGCCGCATGTACAGAGGCAAAAACTATTTTATGTAAAGAAAAACTTCAATTATGGTTAATTGCAAAAGTTAATATGAAAAGTAATTATCAATTTTTTCTCTGAGTTTTATTTTAAGCATGCAATCTCTCTGATAATCTGTTACAGATAATCTGATTTCTCTAATAATCTCTGTCTTTACCAAAAGTCTGCTCCCATATGAGCCAATTTACTACTTTAATTCTTTTTTTTTGTTTGTGTTTTGTGAGTCTAAATTTTGAGTTTCCATGCCTTTTTTTGTGTTTGCGCCACATTTTCACCCCTTGGCCAGATTATATACATATCCAAGTCTTTATATTAGAATAGAATAAATGTGTAATCTTACTTAACTTTCAATAATTGGCGCACATGCAGATTATTAAGCTGCATGTCCTTATTGTGTTAGAATAAAATTTTTCTCTCAGTCAATGGCAACATTTAAGTTCCTGATTGTTTGTTTTTAATTCAATAGCACAGTAACTTTGTAGTAATTGCTAACTGTTAATTTAAATGTCTCCTCCATTTCAAAGTATAGTGAAGTTTTTTATAGTAAAAAATATCTGATATAATTATATTTGGATTCACCATAGAGTTGCTCAAGTTGCTCAATATAGCCAATCAGGTCTAGGGAATCCTCTGTTAGAGTCTAACTATAAATAACCAGAAACATATGGTGATGATGAAGAAAACAATTGCAAAAGAAAAAACATAACAGACTAAAATCTAAGCTTTTGATTTTACAATCTGTAAATAATAACTCACCCTAAGGCCACAATTTTGCAGCTTAATTAGAGTATTAATATGTTTTTAAATCTGAGATAAAAAGACCTAATGAGGTGTTCTCAGTAGAATAACACAAGTCATTGAATCATAACATTGTCTATCTACTCCCTATTTGAAAGGTTACTACTGTTTGGTTCAAATGCAAACACACAGTTGACATTTCAATGCTCTTCTAATAATTTTGCTTTAAGCAATCTTGTCTTAGATGAGAAGGAGTAAAAGCTCTAATTGCCTTTCTAATGAAGATCGCTGGGTTTTAACCTTGAAGCATCATTTTCATACTTTCATAGTCCCAGAATAAATTCGATAAACAATTTGATTTCTTGTCAGCTATCCAAAATGCCTTGCAACTCAATTTTTATGTTTGCTGACTGTGCATTAATTGTTAAATATATGAGAATTTTTTTCAGACTAGCTATTTTTTTAAAGCCTACTGTAATACATATATTGTCAGAGAGACTGTAATGGCTGTTGCAGCTCTTGCTGTTTGAGATAAATTTAGAAAGTTATCTGGGGTTTGTGTTAACATGAGAAGGGTCCCTGGTCTTAGAAATCAGAATCAAAAAGTTGGAATATTTCCTTAATGTCTGACAGAGTAATGTTGAAGACCTAATAGTTTGACTAATGTGAGATAAGGCAAAGACTAATGAGAGGAATATGGGATGACGTCCCATGAAGCACTGTTCCTGAGGACCCGGCTTCACAGAGCAAAGCACAGCTAAAAATAGTTGTTACTTTTCCAAACATTCAAAGCTAAGCACCAAGTTAAACTGCACAACAGCATTTTTGCATTTATTACATATAACATTTAAATATGCAAACAGCTAAATTATTGATTAATCAAAACAAACTATAACAAAGCAGCAATTAGCATAGCAATTAAACATGTTACTACAGCTCCACCCCTCTAATGCCCGTTTTTTCCCCCAGCTTTTGGATGCACCCCTACAGTACACCAGCACACCTGAATTAAATTGATGGTTAATGACCAGTCCATTTAAAACTTGCTGATAATTCACCATTATGGTTACTCAATTTATTTCAAATGTATATATGCCTAATTATAAAAAACATTCTACTGTTAAAGCTTTACGCAGTTTAATTTAGTAGAAGGCTATTACCACAACAGAACACTAGATAATCATTCAATATTACCATCTACAGACCCTAAAAGAAATAAATGTGGACCTTTTCTAAAATATATAACACCTCCCTTTGCAAACATCCCTCAGAAAACTGCTTTAGAAATCATTTCAAAGCAATTTGGAAAAACAAATGACAGCCATAAAAAAAAGCCTGTCTTTTTTGTCCACCATGTCTCCATTTGGTTCCTAAATGCTGCTGTCTGAATGATGCTGTCAATGATGCATTGTTAAAGAGCAAGCTAAACGGATTAGATCGACTCTGAATAAAAAAACTCTGAGCTCTTTTGTTCCTTTTTTTTTTAAAGGTGATGATTAGAGAATCTTACAGAAGAGGAAAAGAAAATATTCAGTCATTGCAACAGATAAGCCTGTCAAAGAAACAAAAACATTCTGATATTTACTTTAACACAGACCAGAAAAAAAACTTGGCTTCAGTTTGTAAAGTGTATCAACAGCTGCCATCAAAATTAAATGCTTAGCATATACTGTTAAACTTCCCTGATTTTACACAAAACTTCAGTATCCATTAGAAGGCATTTGCACAGCTCAGGAGGAGTGGAGGAAAAGATTTTACTAAACAGAGAGCAGCAGTATCTGGCCAGGCGAGGCTTCAGGTGTAATGCATACCTAATGAAAGGCTTGGAGAAGGTCAAACAGGCTGTGAAATGAAA